GTATTTTAAATATGATTTGAAAAGAGACTGATTCAAAAATTTTCAATGACCCAGTGAAATCTGAACTACTTATTGCAAGACAAGAAGTATAATGCTTCAATCAAAATAGCAACTTGGAATGTGTTTTATTAAACAGAGTTCATTTAATATTACCCCAGAGTGCTGTGGATGTGAAAACACATTCTTGAATTTGAACTTTCATATTTAGGTAATAGGAACAAGGAAAAAATGGTAATTTCTAATATTGCACATTTTGGGCCAAATTCTGATCCCATATAGAACTACCCATGACATTCCTGCATGTTTTCCAAAAGCAGCGTGTCCCTGGGTCCTGTCTGTCACTACGAGGTAAAAATGTTGCAGAAAAAACAAGTAGACCCTGCACAGAGCTCTGCATAAAATCCTGCTGGATTTTACTTTCCCGTCACTGTCTCTGCAGAATTTCTGAGGTGAGTGTTTGCAGTGAGAGAAAACAAAACCAAGCTCAGGCTCTGTGCAATCAAAGAAAATTCTGAAATAATTTGCATCGAGAGATGCAAAATAATGGAAAAACGTGGATTATATGCATAAATTCTGTGTGCATTTCACTTCTAAATATTCCTTGATTTTTGTCAGCAATGTTATGCAAAAATATTTAAATGAGCAGATTATAAAAGAGCAGTGCTGCCCGTGTAATATCGATGCAGAATCGATCGGGGACGGGCAGCTGGGAAGCGATGGGGCCATTTATATCTCCATTACCGGAGAATTGCTGGTCATCCTAAGGAAAACGGGTTTTTGCTTGCCGGCAGTTCGATATTTCGGGTTGGTTCCTGCTGCCAACCCGAGCGTGACTGCGGAGAGCCACTGATCTCTCGCACGGACCCTGGGGTGAGCTCACCGGCCCCGAGCGCACCGGGGCGGGGCGCGGGACCGGCGGCCTCGGAGGCTCCGCCGCTCGCTCTGTTCCATCGCTCGGTGTCCCCGCTGGCCCCGTCCCCCGCTCCGGGTCCCGCCGCTGCCCGACACCCACCAGGGGGTGAAGCTCTGGAGGGACCGGCGGGCCGGGGCAGGCGCGGAGAGCTGCAGTCCCCGTGCGGTGTTAAAATACGGTAAAACGGAATTTTATTAGGTGCTTATTTAGAGAAACGAAAAATCCTACTCTGTTACACACGGAGCGAACTCCGGTGCCTGTATTAATTGTCGCCCGCCGTCAGCGCGGGTTGTGCCGACACCTTCCACCCCTGCCCGAATCCCTGAGGCAGAGCGGGGATGTCACCTGCGCACGGAGGGGATGTACCGAGCAGCGCTGCGCCCGCCGCCCGGTGCGGCTGCGGGAGAGCCCGGCGGTGCCGCCGGGACGGAGCGGGTATCGGCTCCTGCGCCGGGGCCGAGCATGCAACCACCGGGCTCTGAGCTGTCAGAATTCCTTTGCAAAAAACCCAATTACCGTGACTATAAAACTTGGTTTTGAGAAAAAAATATTTCTCTTTTCACGGGATCCCGCAGAAAAGGAAAACAAAATAAGATTTTTTCCTTTCAGTATAAAATTGACCAAAATAGTGTATCTGCTCAGGTACCATAAATACACTGCACCCACAAAGCAAAATAAAAGCTTTTGTGTAATTTGGGTGGTGTTTTCTGATTTAAAAAAAGAGCTGAGGATTCTCTGACCTTGACACGAGGTAGCTGCCTGCTGCCACACCACAGCTGGCATGTTTGACAGCAATTCTTACAGGCTTTACTTTCTCTTGATATGAAGAAGTTAAGTGGGCAGCTTGGGAAATTTAGGCATGTGATTATCTAATTTTTTTGAAGGCTCAATTTTTTTTTCAAGGGCTCTTTCACAAAACCCCCAGCATGCTGCATCGAGGCAATTTCAACTATGGGTAGAGCAGAATTAAAACATTTCCCCTAATATCCCATTACGTAAAATCGAATTGACAGCGTGTTGCAAAGTAGTTGTGTATTTTCAGTAACCAAAAGTACCAAAGAGCTGCTAAGCCTCCAGTGCTCAGTACCTTTAATACAATAAAGCAATTTTAAAAACTTGAGACCGAATTCCATACGATTGTATGTTGTTGTTAAATGTGTGAACTTGGGCAAATTCAAATCAAGCCCTGGCAGGAGTGGAGGATGAGAGCTGAGAAGCTGCCCCGTCCACAGAGGTTTAACCCCACATGAAAACACCGATTTCAGTGCACTCTGTAGCTGTTACTGTCATCCTCTTGTAAACTGATTTAAGTACTTGAGTTTCAGAGGAAGAAGCTATTTCAAGCGAATACTTGTGTGTATGACATCTGTGATTTGCATGTACAGAATTATCCTGGTGAATCAGTCAAGTGACTTTGTGCCCAAGTGCCTGGATGCACTGGGGAGCACAACGGGCATGGAACCTGCGGAACAACCAGCTGGGAACACTGTGGCTCTGATTTGAGTGGTTTCCTGGTGTGGATGCAAAATGCTATGGATGAGAAAAGACTAGCAGTTGCTGGAGTGAATGAACCCATCTGCCTCCCTCGAAACAACTGAGTGCACAGGGAATGAAATTGTAATTTAAAAAAATTTAACACAGCAAGAGCAAATATGAAAATTGAGATGAAAATACCTTTTAGGTTAATTAAGTGGCTAAGCACACTTACAAATGGTAAAGATTTGCCAGTTTTAGAAGTCTTGTTGCTTATCCGTGGATTTTCCTTTGGCCATGACCCCCAGTCACCTTTTCAGTGGTGCTGCCTCCCACTGCCTGTGGCTGCTCTGCCCGCTGGCTGCCTGCACTCTGCAGCTGCAGATGGCATTTACAGCCCAACAGAATTGCTTAGAGCAGCTGGAAATGAAACACAACTTGACAAAATTAACTTCAAAAAGAACAGGTGTAGCTTGGGTGAGCCTGGGATAAGGTGTGGTGACCCCCAGTGTACGGGCAGGGAAGGGCCGGGAAGGGCAGTGGTGCACAGAGGAGGTGGTGCTGGGGCTGTGCTCCTTCCTGGAGTGGCTGCAGGGTGTTGAAACCACCTCAGCATTGCCCTCTGCAACCTTGGATGCAGTGTGAAAAAATCAGACAATCCTCGTAAAAACTGTTCTACATTTTAAGCAGTGAAGTAACACAATTCCCTGATCTTTCCCTGAGAATCATGAGACTGTTTATTTTTCTTGTTGTGGAGTCTTGTTTTGGATTTTTTGTATGAGGTCGTGAGCCGTCTTCAACCGTTGGAGATGATAGGAGTAAAGTAACAAGATGTCAACAGTTAGGGTAACATTTCTAGGTTAAGACTGCCAAAAAAATCTTCATGAATTTTGTATCATTTTTCAGAGGAATGTGGGATTGTATCACATGTCAGTTTCTGACAAACTGTATTTCTAAGAATGTAAATCCTGTGCTGCTATTACACAGTGCAAGGGTTTGGGATGTTATTGTAGTGTTGGGAAGAAAAAGCTAAAAAGAAGCTTCCCAAAAAATTTACTTGCACTGAATACCCTTTCCTGCCAATACACAACCCTACTCTGCCCTCGAAGGCACACCAAGGTCCTGGTTTACACACACTATTAGTATCTGTGATCCCTCTCCCACCTTGCACAGGTGACTGTACACACTGGGAATTAATCTGCTCTGGATTTGGGAACAGGCCACTTCTATCCCAGGAATGTGGGTTCTGTGGGTTGGGCTTGAAGTCTGATTGGTTTCTTTGCATCTCTGCTTTTTCAGTGCTGAATTTTCCCTTCCCATGTGTGATGAGATCTGACAGCTTGGCAACGTCTGTGGGCACTGCTTGTGGTTGGTGCTGGTGCTGCCAGTCCCTTGAGCCACATCCAACAGACCAGAGCCAGACCTTTAGGAAATGTCACATGCAGAGGAGGGTTCAGACTGTTCCGAACAAACTCCTTAAAATCCACAAGAACAACCTCCTCCTCTGTGCACAGGAGCTGCCCCCCGGGTGGTGAGGAGGGACCTACCAGAACGGTGGGATCCTCACTAGTGGCGATGGGGACAGGGACAGCCTGTGGCTTCACAGCACTTGGCTGAGGCAGCAGGCTGGGAAGGCCCCTCTGCACGGAGGCAGATGTTGCTGAAACCCTGGGGTTTCAGTTCAGCCCAGAGGCAGCTGAGCCTCAGAATGGAGAGAGGAAGGTCTGTAAACATGGTGACTGCAAAGGTCTGACACGAGCCCCCGCCCCAACACTGCTCCAGCAACACCTGTGGCAGAAGCCATGTCCCCACACTTGAGGAGCTGTTGTCCCTTGCCCTGCTGTGGGACCCTTGGCTGCTCTCACCATCTGGCTGCTGCCCCACAGGCTAAGGGACTTGGGCTTTGCTCACCCACCTCCTGGCCAGCAGCTCTGCAATGTCAGAAATGCCCCCCCTGTGTTCAGTCAGAATGGAACCATAGTTAGTTCTCCCAAATGCACATGAGGTCTGAGACCAGTGCAGTGATGCTTTGGAAGGTTTCTGTCGAATTTCCACCTCACATATTGGCTATCTCACAAGCCAATGGTCTTTGGTCTTCAGTATTTGTCGCCAGCATCTCTCCTTCCCTGAAGGAGAAACCAGCAGCACCTGTGTGTTCTGTGACATGCTGTTCGTGCTGGCAAGCACCTCAACTGGACGTAGCAGCAAACTTACAAGGACAGAAGGGCACTGGCCTCTCCCCTTCCCATGCCCCAGCCACATGCTGAGGTGTTTCAAGCGCCCAGAAGGAGAACATCTGAGCTTGAAGTCAGCAAGACAAACACACAACACAAGAGGCTCCAGTTCCTTTCTTCTGGCGTACCTGTGACTGGAAACAGCCCAACGGGTCTTTCAGAATCTACTCAGTGCCCCAATTACTCTTCCCTGAGGCTGCCATGGAGTATGTTCAATTTCTGCAGTGGAATTAAAATGCCCCCGAAGACAGAAGTTCATGTAATGGAAACAGTGACATCCCTCTCTGCATGGCCTGGGAGTTCCTGCACAAATAAACCACCTCCTTCAGTGAGGGTCTGGCTCTGCAGTGTAAGCTATCACTCAGTCACAAGACAGCTTGGAAGGTTTACAAATTCAGCATTTTTCTAAAAAATACACGAGCATGGAGTATCTTTACCAGTGGCACAACAAGGAATGCACACAGTGCTGCACTGTTTGTATATAACAGTTCCTGTAGTCAGTGGTTCTCAGCTCAGCCCAGCCCAGCCCTTGGGGTGACTTTGGCCGGGTGCTGGCTGCAGAGTGCAGGGGCTCTGTGAGGAGAAGGGGCCATCAGCACACAGAGCTGGCTAAAGGGGCAAGGAAAAATGGTACTGAGTGGCCAGTGGTTATGGGAATTGGAGTGCACACAGTAGGGCTGGAGCCCGAGACACAGCAAAGAGCAGGGAAACAGCAGCAGCCCGGAGGGATCTGGATGCACCCGGCTGAGGCTGGTACAGAGCAGTACCCAGCTCGTGCTTTTCTGTCCTAAGCTCTGCCCCAGGTATGCTCTGCAGGTGACTAACAGCTGCCAGGAAGGGCCAGCCATGCTGGTGCATGCTGCTCTGCAGAGGTCCTGCAGGGAGTAACAACCTTTGGGGAAAACAACTCAGTTTTTAGAGTTTCTCTGCTCTGCAAAAACAAAGTTGGAAGTGAAACGCTGCCACAGAGAACATGGCCAAAGGCTGCAGCAAACCTGTTATTTCTGGGATAACTGGCAGATGGAGTAGAAGTCTGTTAATTCAACACTACAGTTAAAAAAACCCCAACACATTCTAGGGCTTTGTTCTCTGTGCCTGGTAGCATTACACCTGCTCACCATTCTGTTAATTACCTTTTTTCTGGTCAATGTCCATGGGAGTGTTACTACTGAGAGCACAACAGTATATAAACCTCTTACAAAGAGCATACAGTCAGTTTGCCATTTGCTTTCGAATGCCTTAGTCTATATCATGATTTCGGCAAACAGATCCAGACTGCTTTCAGTATCATCCTGGGGCTCCAGCTCTCCACTGGGATTGGCCTGTTCCCGAATGGTCCGTCTCTTTCTCCTGTGCACATACACAGAGCGGCTCTTCTCTGGCCCCTTGGGAGCCAAGGTGTCTGTAGGGACAGCAGCCTCCAGAGCCAACTCCAAGCCCTTGTGGAATCTAGAAAGAAAAAATTTTGTATTTACTATTTTGTAGGTTTGCTACAAAACTCCTCTAAGAAACTAATGCTTTTGGAATGTAATCAAGACATGCAAGGAGAAGAAAAGTGGTTTTAGCTGATACTGAAGAAAAACTCAATGTCATGAACATTCCATCATTACATGGTATAATCTTACAAACCTCTCAATCCTCCTTATGTTTTCTTCCATTTTCTGATTGGCTACATGTACCAGAAATTCAATATATTCGTCAGAGACCATCAATCTCCCCTTGTGGCTCAATGGAACTTCTAAGCAGTGAGTGCTTCGGACAGCCTGAAAAAGCACACAGGACTTATCTGGAACAAAGTTTTTTTACTTTATGAAGGTAATTTAAATAATATAGGGAGTTCATTGCAGGAAAAAACCTGCTTATCCATAAAATTGGTTAGTTTGCTCTCACCTAAAGCAGAAAGCTATTTCTTTGCTACAGCATGCCCTGTGACAGCTGTTCAGCACAAGTCAGATCTCGGCTGGTAAAAAGCCAAGGTTAACATAATGATATGACTTTGTTACATTCCTTACAGTAGCAGAGTCCTTACCATCGTAATTTTTCCTCCTCTGCCAACCGTAATACCAGAGTTCCTGAATCCAGAATCAACAGCCACTGAATGCTGCAGAACAAATAAGTGCTTAAACAGGTCTTGTACACTTTCACAGCAAAAAATAATTATGAATGGGTTGCAATGCAACTTGCAATCTTGGTTTTGCAAAAAACTTACTCAAAACCATCTCCACAGACTGACAAAAAATAGTTAAATTAAAATTTCTTTAAGATCAAGCCCACAAACTGTGGGTGGTTTTCAGAGACCCATGGTGCATCCTGACTGTCTGAATCCATCAGTGCAGATGGGACACAATGTCTCTCTGAGCACTGAGTTGCTTTATCCCAAGGAGCTGGAAGCACACACAGTCATGCCACATGTCTATAGCTGTGAGGACAGCAGCACTGTACACTGAGCTCATCAGCTCTCCTGTGCTAATGAGGGAATGAGCCTGGCACGGCACACACTGCTCTTCGGTCATGCTGGAGAAGCAGAACACAAAGGTGTTCATTGCAAGTGGAGACAAATGGCCTGGATGGTAGCAAAGTAATGCCTAAAATCCATCCCTTTCAGCCAGTGAGAGAATCTCAGGCTCCCTGGGAAATGTTTTATGGGCGGCCCTCTTCAGCTCAAAGGTGAGTCATTTTGCTTTCTATGCATAGCAAAATCTCCACCAAGTTTAAAGCTCTGTTTTCCTCATCGGCTTACTTTACCATCTCAGTTGTTAAACACACAGCACATCTGGGACTATTCCTAAGTGTTACAGCTTAACCAGGAGACAATCCTTTTACTTTTACAGGCAGGAATGTAACAGAGCAACAATGTCACATTGTGCTTGATGTGGTTTTACCAGCAGCTGTGCATCCTGCAGCTCCCGACACAGCACGTGAAGAACAAATGGTTCAAACTTGAACACAACGTCTCCAGTGGACTTCTCTAGTGCTGTCATCTGGAAAATACACCAAAACATTTATATTAACACTGCAAGTGTGTACTGTTATTGCAAAAAAAAAAAAAGGCAAAAAAGAAAAAGCTAGTCTGTGTATGAAACAAGCACCAAAAATGCAGCAAATGAGTCCCAAGCAGTCAGGTTTGATCAGCTGCTTTTAAGTTTTCATTGCTCACAATACACAGAAACTCCATGGATTTCCCTGATTCTGTTTGCTAAACTGATCAGGTTTGATAGAAATTAATGGCAAAACAGACATTAAAAACTGTGCTTCATCCTTCATGTTTTTCCTTTGTACATCCAAACATTGACACCATCAGTCCAGCAAGGGACAATGACTGTTCTGCTGCAATCAGGTGATTGAGCAGGGATTTTTTTTTTAACTGTTCTTTAAAATCAAAGACATTTAGTTGCTGAAGTACATTCCTCAACATTCTGGGTTTCAGCAGATTAAATCCATGGCCTAACATACGCAACCACACTTCAATCCTTTCTCAAATACCAGTGTGTAGCCTAATATATGAGAATTATAAAGACAAATTCAGAGGTTGAAATTAGAGGCATAAACCCACAAGACTAGAAAAAAAGAAGTAACTTTATAATCATAAAATTGAAGATATCCCCTTCAGACCCCTCAGTTCTGCCAGAAGACAGAGATGCTAGTGGCAGATTTTCCTGGATCTATGGGTGTGCAGACAGCTCTCTGACATCCTGCACAGCTCACAAAGACAGTTTATCTGCTTTTCTGTGCTGTCTTCGTGCAGAGAAACCTTGAGGGCTGGGAATATTTTCTTCTATTCAGAAATGTCACTTTGAGACAGAAAAGCTTGAGCTTAAAAACATTCTCTTCAAAACGGGTCTGAAGAATTTATTAAGCAACACCCCTAAAGAAGATTTAATTTTGAAAGAGTAGCAATTCATCTCAGCATTAGGAATAAAAATTCTTTCACGTGTTTTCCATGACACCACGAGCACTGCAATGAATAAATAGAAAAGCTGTATCCTACTGTGCTCTTACCACATCGCCTTTGGCACAGGGGTCATGTGTTACTAGGAGCCACGTGCAGTTCTTCTTCTGGATCCCGCCGCCGTCCGTGTCCTGATGGACAGAAACCAGGGAATGGGCTCTGCGGGTCGGTGATGTTTGATCCGGCTCTTCCGAGCCAGGAGCGTCGCTTTGCCCGCAGAGCCCATTCACAGGAACACTGCTCGGGCCGGCTCTGCCCGGGCACCGGCCGGGTTTGTGTGTCCCGGCCACTGATACTCAGCTGAGCACGGACAGGGAAGCACCGGCAATAGCGGGACCCGATCTCGCGGCATGCCGGCCCCGCCCCGTCATCCCGGCCCACCCCCCCGGTACCCATGCCGGTATCCCGGTATCCCGGTATCCCGGTATCCCACCGCCAGCAGGACCCTCCCGTCGCACGAGCTGGTGGTGCAGAACCGCTCGTGCGCGTTCAGGAGCCGCGCGAGCTCCGCGGCGCGCGCGTCCAGCGCGCGCTTCCGGCTAGGGTCGGGCCGCGCGAGCCGCTGCGCCTTGCGCCGCGCGAACGCCGCCATCGCGCGGGGACGGCGGCCCGCGGGGGACAAACTTCTGCGCGCGGCCGACTGCCGGGGCGGGGCATTGGATGGCCCCGCCCTCCGCCCTCCGCCCGGGCCCACGCTTCGGCGCGGGGGCTGCGGCGCTCCGCAGGTAGGCGGGGGGCGCGGAGCTCCCCGGTGCTCCCCGGGGGGACGGGACGAGGCGGCGGCGACCCCGCGCTGCCCGTGTCGGGCTCCGCAGCCGCGGTGGCCACGCCCGGGCCTCTAGCGGCGACGGCCGTGGTGCGGCTCAAAGGGGCGGGGCCTGACCGCCAGAGGCCTCGGGGGGCGGGGCCTGGAGGCGAGAGGCGCGTCAGGGGCGGGGCCCGGCAGAGGGGGCGTGCCGGGGGCGTGCCCGGAGCGGGAGGGGGCGGGGTCGCGATGCCGCCCGGGGCGGGCCGGGCCTGGGCCAGCGGTGCCTGTTCCGCGGCTGTTCCCCGCCGGAGACGGCCCCGTGCTGTGCTTCCCGTCCGCCCCATGCCCGGCTCCTGGAAGCTTCTCTGAGCGGGAGACCCTGGGCACCTCGGGCCCCTCCTCTCCTTCCCCTCCCTCTGGATCGGTTCATTATCACGAGGCCGAGCCGCCCTTCGGCCCGCGGGCTGTGCCGTGTCCTGGGCGGTGTCCGCAGGGCACGTCCTGGGGACTCAGGCTCTCCCTGACCTGAACACGAACCGGAGATATTACTGTCGTGTTTTTCCCCAGATCTTCTAGTCGCCATGGCAGCCACCAGCAGAGTGATGAGAGCGATCAGAGTGTTTGAATTTGGTGGCCCTGAAGTACTTAAACTCCAGTCGGATGTGTTAATTCCTGTTCCAAAAGAAAACCAGGTATATGTGTGCTCTGTGAAGGGAAATAAATAGCAGTAATGAATGGTAACAGGTGCCCGCAGGACAGAATGAGGGATGCAACCCAGAACTCTTCATCTGGAGTACATGGGGTTTGATCAGTGTGTTCATACTCCCTGAGACATCATGCTTGACAAATGTGGGCTCTTTACTGTTCTGTGGGCTACATATTCCACACCAAGGGTTTCCTGAAAGTACCTCCAGTTCGACACTGGGTTGTCACAGAGGCTGTTTGAGAATTCACTTAAAGTGCCATGATGCTGTGCTGTGAATTAAACGGCTAAATCTTTCTACTTGCTGCTTAAGAAGCATCTTTTCTTGTAGGTGTTAATTAAAGTCCATGCCTGTGGGGTAAATCCTGTTGAGACATATATTCGTTCTGGGACTTATGCCAGGAAACCGGCTTTGCCCTACACCCCAGGCTCGGATGTGTCTGGGGTGATCGAGGGTGTTGGGGAACATGTGACTGCATTCAAGGTATTTACACATTGAGCTTTAATTCACGATTGTTTATTGTATCCTCTTCGGGTGATTGCTATGTTACTGCGCCTGGCTCTTTTGCTTATAATCATGTAATGTCTTCAAGGGGGGAATCCCCTTCACAGACTAGTAAAAGCACGCAGTGGGATCCCATTGGCAAGCCAGTCTGCAGGTGGGACTGTGAGGAATTCTGTGACCTCTGGGAGCTCAAAGGTCTCAGAAGAGGCACCTGCTGTCTGTCTCCTTAAAGGAGTGACATCAGGTGTACAAAAGTTGGGTTTCTGCACTGCAGAAGTAGTTGAGATTGGATGCTTCCTGCTGGGGATAATAATTTCATACAGAACTGAAAAATTTTCTGTGAAGTTTTTTGGGAAATGGAAATTGCTTACTTGTAAAGCCCCATTAAGTATTTGTTGTTAAAACTGTTCAAATACTGCATTGCTCCAGTGTAGTAATTTTACTTGGATTTCTATGGGGAAAGTCTTGTGACAGGAGAAGGCTAAAAGATATCTATGACATTTGTATAGTTTCCAAATCTGTTCTCCCATTCAAGTCACTAGATGGTTGATCCCAACCAAATATAATCATAGTTAGAATTGTGCTGGAATTTCCTGATTTGGGATGTATGTAACAATTTTGGGAGACCTTGGTGATTTGGTTATCTGGAGAGAAGGATCATCTTTATTCATATTTTCTTATCAGCAGTTTGCTGTATCTGCTATGTGTGTTTTTTGCTTCCTATGGCAGTCGTGATGCTCCTGGCTTGAATGAGAGAGAAGTGTCTTTGGGTATATTAAGAATATATGTTTCTCCACATTAAAATTAAATAATTTAGAAACATTTCTTTTGTGTTCATGAAAGCTTTTGAGGTTTTGCATTTGAAATCTGTGGATGGAATTCCCGAGTGTTCGAGTTCATTGAGGTTCATATTAATGAGACAGTAGGTTTGTGTGTTACACTGCAGAGCAGGGTTATAAATATGACACTTTAAATTAAGTATATGGAATTATATGGTTTGTGTTGCATTGATGGTATGTATCAGCATTTATAAAAATTTCTATGACAAATATAACTGGTTATTTTTAATAGGAGAGCTGTTAGTAATAGCCTAAACTTCTGTGAATTGGTTCATAATGTTTGTTAAGGAAAAAGGAAGGGAAATGATTGATTTCTCTATATTCTCTCCCTCTGTTCTAGAAAGGGGACAGGGTTTTCACCCTTGAAACTGTTTCTGGAGGATATGCAGAGTATGCACTTGCTGCAGCCAACAGAGTCTTTCCTTTGCCAGACAAGCTGGACTTCAGGCAGGGAGCAGCGCTCGGAGTCCCCTACTTCACTGCCTACCGGGCCCTCTTCCAGAAGTAAGGCACCAAATCCAAGTTTGTGCACTTTAATTTTTAATATTTAAAATACCAAAATGCATATTTTCATTGTCCTGTAAAATGGGGAGATTGATGAGTGAGAAATGTTCAAGACACTTGAATTTGTTACGCTGATGGAATTGTCAGATGATTGTGACCTAGAAGCCTGTGACTGTCTTTTCCTGTTAAGTGTTTCTTCTTAAGAGAACAGACCTGGAAAGGCTTCATGTAATAAAACATGTGGCTGCTTTTCAGTACTCACTGGTATTTTATCCAGGGAAGAAAAGCAGGAATAGTTCTAATTTCCTAATTAAGCAGCCAGGTACTGTGGAGCAGAACCACCACTTTCCTGGGACAGAGGAAGGTCCCAGGCTGAGGCTCAGTACGGGGCTGTCACTGCCTGCTGGCTGCATGTTGCTTCATGTCATCAATCACAGGGTTTATTTTGCCTCCTTGTTCTCCTTAAAAGGCTTATGATACCTGTTTAGCCATAAATTGGAGCATTGTTTGGAATATAAATTGGAACATAATTTGGAAATGCTGTGTGAACGATGAGGTTTGATCAGTGTCTGCATTGGTCAGAATCTGCACCCTGGTACTCAGTCAGTGTGTACTGCACTCACAACACCAATATGTCCTGTGTTCTTCACCCAGAGGCTGTGCCAAAGCTGGGGAAAGTGTGCTGGTGCATGGTGCCAGTGGCGGGGTAAGTGTTCCAAGGAGGCAGGTGATAGGGAATGCTGCTCTCTGTCCATGCATCTGCTTGGGGTATGAGTTATGGTCACATTTAGATCAATAAAGGGATTAGCAAATTAGGTGTTTATTTCAGACACTCTGGGATACACTTGCTTAGAGCAAACTCTGTTATTCACAATAACTGTGAAACTGTGCAAGTGCTGGTGTGAGGTCCCCAGTCAGAGGGTCACACACTGAACAGATGGAAGTTGATGTGGAAGCTTTGTAGTAGGTCTAACTCAGGCAAAACTGATAGCAGAAAGCTGTAATTTTCCAATATGTACAAGTTGTTCTGAGTCCTCTGAGAAGGAATCAGCGGTGCAGGGCAACTGTGCGTTTCTGGGATGTTTCTACCTGTGAGCTGTCAGCCAACTGCACAGGGAGAGGCACTGGAATGGATAAAGCTGTGACTGAATACTATGTGAAATTGCACTTCTAATTTTCTTCAGTTTTACGTGACAGGCTAATTTTAGATCTCTCTCACATAACATTCTAGTTTAATTTATCTCCCACACTGTGCCCTTTCTTGCTCGGTTTCTGCTGATGCACCAAACAGCTGCTATGAACGGGCAAAGTTTCAAAGTTTCTTTAATTATTTGTAAGACAACAAAAAGATAAATTCAGATCTTATTCTGAGATACTAGAATGGCATTCAGCATCATTGCCTCTTTTTATTTTCATGAACTAAATGTGGTGCTTCTGTTCTTACTGGAGTGCAAAGCTGGTAGAAGACACTGAGAATTTGCTTTAGAAAGAGATAATTTAATTTGTTTGTGAAAGGTGCAGAAGTGGTTTTAATAAAATTTGTGCCTGCAGATTTTCTTTGCAATGTATAATGCTGGTATCAATAGCAGATGATTCTGTGAAGAGAAGAATTTCCCTGGCTTTGTATCAAAAATGTATGGCCCAGCTTTGACAGATAGACAACATTCTACATTGATTTATATCAAATACTGATAACTGTTAAAAAGGATCAAAACTTTACCATGCTTCTGTAAATCTTTGTCCTTTTTAAAAGACTATTTTTCTGTCTTTAAGATCCAAATTACTTATTATGGTTAAAACACATGTTACCAAACCAACTTTTTAAATGGGGAAGTTCCAATTTGCTGGTAGAATAATTAAAATTTAAAATGCTAAATGGGTAAAATAGTTTTCTTTTTTATTTTTCTTTTTTCTCTTTTGTTTTTTTCTCTCTCCTCAGGTGGGACTAGCAGCATGTCAGATTGCCAGAGCTTGTGGTTTGAAGGTTTTGGGTACAGCAGGAACTGAGGAGGGCATGAATGTGATCCTGAGAAACGGTGCTCACCAAGCCTTTAATCACAGAGACCCTAATTACATTGAGAGAATTAAGGTAGGCATGATGTCAAGGCTAGAGGATGCAGGTACTAACAAACAAGCAGTTGTTTGCTGAAGATTTTAAAGGGGATTTTTGTAGGAGCAATAGTGTACTGCCTTTTTAATTTCTACACAAGATAAAACTTTCCCAGGCTGGAAAAGCAGAGCTTTCCTCACAGGCAGTGTCATTTAGAACTAACATTCAGCAAATTCCAGTGTGGGAGCACACCATAAGTCAGCACAGCAAAATGTGCTACAGTTCAGCTCATTAGCTGTCAGCTGTAGTACAGAGGCTGTATTGAAAATTTAAACAATAGCCTGTAAAATGGATGTTTCCTGTAGTGTATGAAATAAACAGTGGTACCTGAGCACTAAAATAACATCCTGTGTCTTGTACAGGAGTGCACAGGACCGGGGGGAGTGGATATCATCATAGAAATGCTCTCCAATGTCAACCTGGATGCTGACTTGCAGCTGCTGGCCCATGCAGGGAGGGTGATGGTGAGTGTGTCCCTGCCCAGAGGATGATGGTGAGTGTTTGTGTCCCTGAGCAGGGAGGTAATGGTGGGTGTTGGAGTCACTGCCTTAGTCTGTGCATTCTGCATCACAATTGTACAGCTCTTATTTTGGACTTGTTTGGGCAGGTTGTGGGCTGCAGAGGACGCATTGAGATAAACCCAAGAGACACTATGAGCAAGGAGTCAAGCATAATTGGAGTGAGTCTGTTTCTTGCAACTGAGGTGAGAAACATTTCTGTTTTAAAGTATGCTTTGTTGGCTTGTTCCAGCACTCCTCTATTTCAAGTTAAAATCAGTTGTAGGGATGAAAGCATAATTTCACTTTAACTAACTTGTTCATTCATTTCTTTATGTTTTGATTCAATCTCAGAACATAGTAAAATATTTTTGGGTTGTGGAATTTGGTTTAACACTTGAATAAATTGTCAATGCAATTCTAAAATGCAAAGACCTTGTTGTGAATGCTGTGTTTGTTACATGCAGGAGGAGAGGCGTGAATGTGCCACGGCACTCCTTGATGGCATAGAAGCTGGCTGGCTGAAACCCATTGTGGGCTCGGAATATCCCCTGGAGAAAGTAGCCAAGGCTCATGAAGACATTATTTGTAGCAGTGGTGCCCGAGGGAAGATGGTGCTCCTTCTATAAAGGAGAACCTTTTTCCATTTATTTTGTAGCTGCTTTAACTGCACCTTTGCTTACATGGTTCATTGAATGTATGTTATAAGCATACTTTTGATCAGATTTGACAGTAGAAAATGCTCACTTACATGAATTAATTAACAAGCTGCTTCTTTTTGTAAGGAGCAGAGTTTCATTTACTGTAAAGTAATTTTGGTAGCTTTTTTGACTGATGTGTAAATAATAAATTTTTCCCGCTGGCATGGCGTGGTGCTGCAAGGGAAGGCAGAGTTTGGTATCATGTTCTGTGTGAAGGCAGAGTTAAACCACTCTAAGTAGTGCAGAATGAAGCTGCTTTTTACAGATACACAAAATTAAATAACTTGCTGTGTTATAAATTCTTTTAGCCACAAAATCGGTCTTAAATTTGTCACACAATTTACTTGAAATAAAAGCTTTTACTGACAAAATAGTTCATTTTCCAGCTCAAAAGATGGGTAGAATCTCTCAAATATGAACTGTTTGGAGCAGAGGTACTTTCACTTGGCTGTGCCTGCCTCAGGGTCTGAGGTGACAGTGTCCTGGCTCATCCACAGGGACTGTCACTCTGCAGATCCATATTGGTATTCCTCTCTGGAGCTGATGATAGTTATTCCTGGATGGTAAATGGCTGGTTGTGAGGATTTCAGTTCTTGCTGTGACCATTATTCAAGTCTCCTGGGTCCCTGGCTGCATGGAGAGCAGGGCTGCATGGCTCTTGTGGCATGGAGACTTTCTGTGAAATTCCTGAGCCCCAATCTCTGGAGTGGGCAGACTGTGCCATTACACTGAGTCATTTCATTGTCTCTTGTTCTCACAAACCTTAAATCCATTGCCTGGGAGCAGTGGGATCCTTCCTCCCTCCAGGCTGCCCCAGGGGAAAAGAGTTAGTTTCCTTGTTTGTTGCAATTCCCCACAGGAGTAGGGAGCTGCGTTTCTATGTGAAGGTTTGAGAGTGATTCACCTGGTGTAAGTGATGTGAGTAGGTAGTTTCTCAGCTGCTTATCCAGGTGAAAGGTGCTGACTGTTCCTGTTCCTGTTCACTGGGGCAGAATGCAGCCTGAACAGTGATGGTGTGTTGGGAACCTGCTTGATAATGTTGTCAGAGAAAATAAAACATCTTTTAATATAGAAATATTAAATAGAGGTTAAAAATAATGGTTAATGATTGATTAATGATGTGCATGTAAAAGTATATATTTTCCTTATACTCTGTATGTGTTTGTTTAAATATTATTTTTGATTCAGCTTTTTAATTTAGTCAAGGTATTACATGAATGGGAGGTGATGGTTTGTGCTCAAAACAAATGCTGCCTACGCTTTCTAGTCGTTAAAAATGCCATCCCCTCTCCCTTGTAATTTTCCCCTATATCTGTTCCTGCAAAGATGCTTAGTGCTGCTTCTGCATTGTGGCTGACGTTTAGAAGTGAAATTCAGAACAGTTCTCAGGTCTGTCCTCATTGCTGCTGTCTCCAAGGGCTGTGTTTGTCACAGGGTTTGTCACCAGAAGGTGTCAGAGCAGTTCTGTGTTATCACATTGCTGCTGCTCTTTGCCAGGTGATCTGGCAGAATGGCACAATAGGACTGAGACTGACTTGTGAAGGAACGTCATGTAACGTTTATTCTTCTGTCCATTTGTGATGTATTCTACCAATGGAAGGGGTTGTTTTAATTTTGGGAAAAGTAGTGTGAATAGAACTAATGAAGTAGGACTGAGGTGTGTCTGATCTGTCCAAGCCACCCATCTAGAGAATGTCAGCCTGGAGAGTGCTTGGTTTGGCTCTCTTTTTGGGACATACTGCCCCTTGGCAATGCAGAAAAGGATGGAGGAAGAGGATGGGGATCTCAGACAATTGAATTGGGCAGAATAATTTGGTCAGGTTGTTGAGTAGCTTCTCCTATTTGATTGGATGGATTTTGGAGGCAGTGGTTCTCAGTGGCAGGCTGCTTGGTGCTGCTGTGGGTGGTTGGAAAGGTTGCACAGGCTCTTGTGTTTGTGCTGGCCTTGGCATCTGTAGGAGGGGTTTGGGGTTCAAAGCAAGGAGTTGTGTACAATGCCAGAGTCTGGAAACTGCTGTTCTATGTGTTTCTGAAACAGAAAAGAGTAGAATTGTTCTGAAAAGCAGCTGCTCTTGGTTAATATCAATGTGCCCAAAACAAATGCTGCCTATGCTTTCTAGTCGTTAAAAATGCCATCCCCTCTCCCTTGTAATTTTCCCCTGTATCTGTTCCTGACTTCTTCCTGTGGTGCAGGACGGTACAAAAAATTAATGAGACTTCAATTATAGGGCTGGAAAGATAAAATATGAAGAGAATATTGATGTTCTTAATAGTTGCTCCCTTTACAGAAGGCAGATCAATATTGAGTGTGGGTGGATCATGCCACAGAAGGCCTGAGGGTGGTGAAGTCCTTTAACATTTTGGAGCAGGTGCATCATAGGGGAAGGTTGTCCCTGGTCTTCCTCATCATGGGGATCTCCACTCAGATCAGTTGCTCTGTGGCCCCTGGAAACATCACCTGTAAGTTTGTGCTTCAGCTGGAACTCATCCCCCTTGCCGGCCTGGGTCCAGGGCTGTGGGTCTGTGCCAGGGCCTGTCCCTGGCAGTGTCTTGTGTCCCCGAGGCGGTGACAGAGTGGCACATCGGCCACATCTGGAGTGCTGTGTCCAGTTCTGGGCTCCTCAGGACAAGAAAGACAATAGTTATTGGAGAGGGTCCAGTGGAGGCCACAAAGATGATGAGGGGTCTGGAGCATCTCTAATGAAGAGAGACTGCGGGAGCTGGGCCTGGGAAGGCTGAGAAGGGATTTCATCGACCTCTATGAATACATCCAAAGTGGGTGCGAAGAGGATGGTACCAGACTCTTTTCAGCAACAGGATGCGGAGGAGCAATGGCCATAAACCAAAACACAAGAAGTTCTACCTCAACACGAGGAAAAACTTCTTTCCATGGAGGTGGCAGACCCTGGAACAGCTGCTCAGGGTGGGTGTGGAGTCTCCCTCTCTAGAGACATTCCAACCCGCCCGGACATGTTCCTGTGTTACCTGCTCCAGGTGACCCTTCCTGGGTAGGGGGGTTGGACTGGATGATCTCCAGAGGTCCCTTCCACGCCCAACTATTCTGTGATTCTGTGACGCCAAGGGGCAGCGGGGGTGGCGGGCGGAGCGCCGGCTCCCTTCTTCCCTCCCTCCTTCTCCCCGTTTCCCTCCTTCTCCCTGTCTCCCTCCCGCCCTCCCTCCCGCCGTCTCCTGGCGACGCCCGGGACGCGGCGGCAGCGCCGGTCCGCCCGCCATGAGCGCCCCGCAGCCCCGGTGAGTGGGGCGGGGGCGCGGGGGGCGCGGGGTCCGCGGGTCCGTGCGGTCCCGGTGCCCGGGCAGCTCCGGGTGCGCCCGCAGTCGCTCTCGGCCTGTCAGCTCTGCGGGGATAGTGACGGGGCCGGGGCCACCAGCGGCGCATCCCTGCAGCCCGCGCCGGCCTGGGCTGGGGGTAAGGGGGTGTGGATGCCCCGACCTGCCCCACACACCCTGGGGTCCCGGAGCGAGCGCCCGGGCCCCCGGCTGCCGTCCAGGTAACGCCTCCCCCAGCGCAGGGGTGATGGAGCCGCGGGAGCCGCGCCAGAGGCTGCAGGTCATTCCCTCGTTGGCCGGCTCCAGACCTGCAGGTCGTGAGTTCAGAGAATCCAGACTTGCCCGAGCTGATATCAAGGACAAATAATGAGAAATGGAGAATCTCTGCAGGTCTTCATGACAAAATTTGGCACATCCTGGTGTAGTGGGCAATGCTCTGAGTAAAGAAGCAATGATAGAATTTACTCATGTCCACACAAGAAATCAGTAGCAGAACAGGTGTCCCTTTGCTCTGAGTTCCATGTCTGGTTGTGTGGCTGGGCTTCCTTAGGGAGGGAATGGCAGACAGGTGCCAGGTAGAGAGCACAGGGGCCATGATCCCCTGTGACTCTGCCAATCAATAACTGATGCCTTGGTCCTCTCTCAGATCATTTATTTGGTGATTTAATTGCACTGTGAAATATTAACTGTGAAGATTTGCTTTGCAAAACATGTAGGATGCCTGCTGTGGCTTTGTCTTCTTATCCTTCCAACCAAGGAATAGTGGTCTTAAAAATTGTTGTGATACACAGTGCTTCGGGTAAGATGCCAGCTGAGAACAAAGATACTGTTAATAATAATAATAATAATAATAATAATAATAATGGCAATGATCATAGCATCATAGAATTCTAAATAACTGTAAATATAAAATTATTGACCTGACAGTGACATGTTGTCACTGGCTGTGATGCCAGATAAACAAACGTGACACTCATCTTGAGAAGAGCTTCAGATCTACTCATGGAAACTACTGATCAGTCAGTCTAGGTTCTGTGCCAGGAAAATTGCCTGTAATTCTAATAAAACCCCAGCATTTTGGAGAGAAGAATGGACTGGATAAATGGGCAGAGAAAAAGGAGTCTCAGGAGTACCTAGAAAAGGGATATGATGGCTGTGACACATAGGCTGTATAGAGCTGGCTAAGGCTGGTGCTTTCCCTTTGCTGTGTGTTTTCTTAAAATGGATTTTGTCAGTTCCGCACTTCTGCCTGCTGGAGAGGTTTTAGAGGTGCCGTTTTTGTGTGGTTCTTAAATATTGGAGTCTGGGAGAAAAGTGCTCAGACAAGAACTTTTGTTCCCCTTTTGTTGATACTACATGCAGAAGCAGAGATCAAATGGGACAAATGTTTGCTTTGCTGGAGTGTCCCTGCCTGTTCCCGAGGCACTGTCTGTGACGGTGTTTGTGGCCGCAGAGGGTTCCAGGGCTGATGCGAGGGCTCCTCCAGGCAGCATGGCATGGCCAAACCCTAGTGAATCCACTTGCGTTCTTTCCAGTGCTTTAATTGGCTTTGGTTCAGGCCCAACATATTTCCTTATTTCTCCAATGCCCCTTTTGAACTCTAAATTTAAATCCAGCATTTTTGAGGACCAGCCTGTTTATAATTCAAATGAGAAAATACCTGTACAGAGACATCCATGCAACAGAAGCTGCCGCATCACTGTGCTCAGGTGGGAGCTGCATTTTAACTTAGTTATATGGTCCTGGAATTCTTAGATGCAAGGCAGTGAATGCAAAGGAATTGGACTGAGTTTCTCTTCTGCCTTGACATGCAGTTGCTGGGTGATACCACAAATCGGTACTTATCACAATTGGTGGAATCTGGTGGTTTCAAATGCAAACTCTGGATTAAAAAAGTAACATAGAACAGTTGCTATAGTACCAGTGCTTAATCAACAGGCATAACAGGATAAGCTACATTACTTGTTTGTTTAAAGTTTAATTTATTGTTGGCAGCTACCTGTGAGGTTGTTGTGAAACCCCACATAAAGTTCCTATAAATGCATGATCTCTTTAAAAAAAAAAATGTTCTTTCTTTCCTTGAGTATGTTTTTGTGTGTGGCAGCTCAGCCTGGCAATAGACATTTGACTGAATTATCCACATGAAAGGGATATAATAGAGGTACAGTGGCATTTAAATCTACAGCCAAAGAAAACAAAATATATTAGTCTCTTGTTGTGTAACTAAAGCACAACCTGCCCAGAGAGCCCAAAGGTCAGGCTGAATGTATTATGCAAGATGCACCTGAGTGTGTAAATTGTACAAATGTAAGTGGATTTAGAGTATTATGAACTGCAGCCTACTGTCACTGACTTTGTTATTTGTCCTGTTTTACAGAGGGGAAAGTAAGATACAGTTGTGTTAAGAACTGTTTAAAAATATATCTGTTAATTATGGATGCTTCAGTTTCTATGTTCAGCTCCCACATCTGAGGTTCAGTTTTTGGAATGTTTGATCTTTGGTAGCTGTGATGATTGTGGTGAGGCCCTGGCACAGGCTGCCCAGAGAAGCTGTGGCTGCTCCATCCCTGGAAGTTTCCAAGGCCAGGTTGGAAGGAGCTTGGAGCAACCTGGTCTATGGAAAGTGTCCCTGCCACCAACAGGGCATCAGGCAGAGTGGCTGGGGAGCTGGGTCTGTGCAGCTGGAATCCAGCTCCAGGTACTGTGTGGAACTGCCATGCCCAAGGTCAGGGTGTATCATCCCAGGGGGCTGCTGTGGGAGCTGGGGGTGGTGGAGGCTCTCCGGGCTGGGCCTGTCAGCCTGTCAGTGGTTCCATACTGAGCTTCTTGGCCTTACGTAAAACTCACTTGTTTCTGACACGAATTTTCTGGAGACCAAAAGATGTTGCTTTCACATAATCTAGTGGACATTTATCTTACTAAATAGGGCATAATTCGCCAAGGCAGGATTTTGTGCAGCAAATTATTGACAAGTTCTGTTTAACTTAAACTGTAATAATTTGTCAGCCAAGGGGATTATAAATATCTGTATTGATTTTATTGCAGATTTCTTGCAACCTACAACAGCCTTACAGACAAACACCTGGCTGGATATTTCAGCAATGCCAGGATAAGACAACACCTTCAGAGATCAGGACTGGTGAGACTGAAAATTTTCCCTGAATTCAACATTTAATTCAGAATGTTTTAATCCTTTTGTTCTGTATTTATTTTTGCTCATTGGAGTTTCCCTCTGCAAAATCTTTCAGTTTGCAAAAATACAGCATCATGTTGATTCACTCAGGGTTTTCACACTGAAATATCTTTGACTTGACTGGTTGTTCAAATAGCTTCAGTGTTATTTTTCAAAAGTGTTTAATGGAAAACTGAAGGATTTGCTGAAGATGAATGTGCTGAACATTTTAAAAAATGCCAGTGCGCTCCTAGGTGAGACTGCTTCACGCAGAAAGGCAGGTGCAGCCCTTAGCAGTAGGAAGGCAAGTGTTTAACTCCCTGTACCCCCTTGGGCAGTGGCCCATGAGGAGTAAGGCTGAGCCCTTGTCTATTAGAAATGTGGCTGCTGCTCCCTCTGTTTGGCTACTGGAGCCCATGGGATCAAAGTCCTGTGACCATGCCAGGGGCAGAGGTGGTAGCTAAGCAGGAGGAGAAAGTGGTCTTCCTGGGAAATTGCACTGTTTCAAAACATACTTTATTCCATCTTCTCCTTTTCAGTAACATTACATTTGTGTATGGCAGATCTCAAGAAGTGGAAGAATAATACCTGAGAAAGAATACCGGCTCAATGCCATGAGGAGGGACCACCAGAGATACGTCCAGGAGTGCCTGGCTCATGCCATATTTCATAAGGTCCTTGACATGGAGGTATGCCCTTACTGGGGGTGCGTGAGCCTTCTCAGATGCTTCCCCGCTGACAGCCAGGGTCTGTTAACTTGTACTGAACTGTTTTCCATATGTGCCCTCATGCTCCCCTGGAAGGCTCTCTTCTGCTGGGAAAAGGGACAGTCTCTGCTTGACATTCTCTACAGAATTACCTACACAGGCCTCTCGTAGTCAAACCCTGCTGTCACGAGAGCAGGCACTGTCTTGGCTCCCTCACTGCTCTTTGGCAGCCCTCAGATTATGGGATGATATTCACAGGACTAGTTTACTTAAAAAAATCCTAATAAAACCAAAACTGTTTGAATACATTTATATTTATCATCTGAGTACAAAATTTGGGCACATTTCTGTGGCATATCAAGAGTGGAGTTGGTCCCTACAACTTTACCAACTTTAGCAGTGCTCAGTTGTTCCCTTGGCTGTGTGTATACACACAAGTGAAATGCGAATGGATTCAATCCATAGTAGTTTTATTACCAGGCTCAACGAGGGTAACAGCCAGGGAGAAGACACAGGACAAGCAGGACAGAACCAAATGTTGTTGCATTCACTGACATCTCATAATGCCCATTAATGGGATTTCTCTTTCTCTTACATTGGTAGCGTCATCATCAGCTGGAAATAAAACGGAAACTTGAATATTCTGCAAAGAAGGAGAGGGTGCGGAAAATCAAGGTAAGGCTTGAGTGCTGCTGGGTGCTGATGGCTCCTGGCAGCTTTGCCTGGCGAGTAACAGCCACAAGCCTGGCCAGAGATTCTTTGAGCCAAGTGCTCTTTCTCTGACATTTATGGAAAAGATAAGAAACAGGCAAGTAGAGGGTGATCCTGCCCAGGTTACATCTACTTCTTTCTCTGTCTAGAAGTTCAGGAACTTCCATTCATGCATCTAATTCCTTCTGAATCTAGTTATTCTTCTGGTTCTACAGTGTTCTTCTTCATGGGGGGATTTAATAAGGAGTTGTGTGATATGGTACCTCCTTGCATTTCTGCACAGTAATTAATGCTGTCTGATATCTCAGTTTGATGCTCCATTGGTCTCGGTATGAAAAAGTTAATAACTGTTCTCTATTTCCAAAGCATCTGTAGTTTTACACACCTTCTTCGTATTTCTTCTCAGTTTTCCAAGCTGAAGACCCTCAGTCTGAATCTTTCTTAGCTGAGCCATTCCAAGCTTCTCACTACCATTGCTATTGTTTTACTTTTTCTAGTTCTACTATTTCTGTTTTGAAATAGGGAACCAGAACAGGATGAATAATTCAAGACCTGTTCTCCTCACAGTAATTCTAGACCCTCTGTGCTTTTGGCTGCTGCTGAGCACTGAGCTCATGTGTTCAGTCGTTTGCCTCTCCACAGGATTTGGGCAGAACTGGCATCTAAGTAATGAAAAGAGGTTTCAGGACCCCTCACTTTGCTGTCATGTAGGTCGAGCTTGATTCTGTAGTTAGAGTCATGGAAATCCCACAGAAGTCAATGGTTCTCCCCATGAAGTCACTTGGATTCATATGGGAAAAGTTGTTCGGCAGAAACTTGCTCTGCCTTTTTTTTTCTGTATTAGGAGCCAGAATGCTTTGAGGAGAGTGCCATGAGAAGCTGGCTGCTGCTTTGAGCAGCTGGGGAACATTGTCAGATCTGTTAAATTGTAAATAATACATCTATAGGCAGCTCTTCAGGTAAAGAAAGGAGAAGATTTTCCTAAAAGATACTGGTCACTATGGGAATTGAAGAGGCGTTGTTTGCTGACGAAACTCCTGTGGTAGGAAGTCACTCTGTGAAAGCAGCAACTTCAGCACCCTATGAGGGATCCTGGGCTTGGGTAATTTTGAAACATATACCAGAACTGCTTCCTTCAGCGAGACGCCTGCAGATACCTGATCTGTATGTGCTGGGCTGGGCTGCAGGAGCCTGGCTGGAGCCAGTGGTGTAACTTAATTCTCACCTCATATGTTCAGTGAATTCGGTCAAGTTGCTCATCTGAAAGGAAAGGAGGAAGGCAGATCCCTGAGCAAGGGAGGCTGAGATTCAGAGCTGTCTGTTTCCAGTGGGACAGTTATCCCCAGTGGAGGGTTGGTGAGGAGAGAAAGGGGAGATGGGCCGCAGTCAGAGCAGGGAAGAGGCAGGTGCACTCAAATTTAAAAAGACCTTCAAAAAACCAGGAACTGGGAGATACACAGAAATAGGCAGATGAATTGAATCTGGGGGGTGAGCAGCTGGAGACAGCTGCAGGAAAATGAATCAGAGCTGGTGACAAGTCTTTTCACTTGTCTTTTCACATTCTCCCATGATTTCCTTTCCTTCCTTAACTAGGTGTTCCATAAGGTCCAGGTGAGCTGATAATCACAGCTGTCCAGTGAAAGAGATGTAATGAGGCTTAGACATAACCATTAGAGTATTTGGTGCCTCATAGACATATATTTCTGTTCTTTTAGGAGGAACAATTCAGAAGATCAGTGGAAGATGCGATCCCCATGCATTCTCCACATCCACCACTCGGTCCAAGGAACCATGATGGGCTTCATCCTTTAGTGACTGGAGATCGAGCTGGTCGCTCACAATGGGTGAGTTTTGACAACTTCTCCATTGCCTATCATGGAAGCATGGATAGCTGGAAGTGTGCACATGGACCTGTGACATCTGTACTTAGGACAGAGCACTGACTACCTGGATCATTCTGGATTAGGGCCTCATCCTGTTTGCGGAGTCCTGTCATTAAAGAGGAATCTTCAGAAGACAGTGTTGCAGCAATGGCACATCAGAACTTAGGAAAAAAACAAACAAAACCTTTGCTCTCTGATAAATCTGCTTCAGTCTTTCCCTTTTAGCTGCCTCATGAGATGAGTCGGTATCAGCGCGTTGAGCATTATCAGTGAATGCCAGAGCTGTAGAAGGGGTTACACATGTTGTGAAGTCCTGAAAGCAGTGGAGGTCTTTTAGAAAACAGAGTTGAAAGAGAGCTCTGAAATGAGTTCTGGAGCTCTGGCTTACTCTCTGTTAACAGCAAAGAAACAATGTTAATATACCCTGGAAATATAATGATAGTAAAGCCTAAGGTCAAAGGCCAAATATATAGTTCAGTTTTAATTAGTTCTCCACATCAATAATGATAATTGGTGCAGATTGAAGAGAGACTTTCAAGTCCTGAATGACCTTCTCTCCATACAGAGAGCACCTGGACTTGTAGTTGATTATGGTGGTGGACATTCTTCTCATCAGCACCGACCCAAGGAGCCTGCACACTCTGAGGTGGTGAGTTACCTCAGTTAAACAGTGCTGTTAGGCTGTAACTTTTTAACTTGGTATTCTGAAGGTTATACAAGGACAAGATGAAATAAAAAAGTCAGAAAAAAAGCTGAGTATTGAAGAAAAATAGGCATGTTTTTGTTGTGCATTCTCTTAGTGTCCATGTGCTGAAGTCCATAGCGCACTGCTACAGTTCCTGTGAGTTCATCATGTTTGCTTCAAGGCTGCACGGTGAAGAGACCGTAGCAAAACCTGTATTTATGGCCAAGAGTTGTCTTGGATGATGAAGTTTTGCATGTTCAGTTAGAGGTGCCTAAAGGGGTCTGACTCTTTGGAGAACTAGAAAATGTCCTGTCCTGGAGGTACCTGAAATCACTCGCTGCTTCCAGATATTTTCATCAGTGCTATTTTTTTCCTTTATGGTGCTGCTCTGCACTGGAAGTTATGCACTGAGATTTTGTTGCTGTTTTCTTTTCCCTTTTGTAGAGTTCCTGGCGACCAAATACAGCTCCAGGAAATGTGCAGCAGCCGTTTCGCCTCCAGCCCCTTCGCCGCCGGGCTGCAGCAGGGTCGCTACCAAAGGGTTCCCAACAGAAGTGCCATGTACTGGAATGGAATCAGCAGTTTGCCCGTGGGGTGAGGCTGTATTTCATTCTGAAAATAATAGCATTTTAGGGACAGTTTTATAATACTGATTTAGTACTGTAGTTCCCAGAATTGTGTAGTGCAGGGACAATGCCTTTCAAATGGCATCAGCTTTTATTTGAACTCTCCTTTTTCACTTCCCCTTAATTTTCAAGATGTTGTCTTACTGGTCCAGTTCTTGAGGAAAAATGTGGTGACTAATCTTTCATAGTATAAAATCTCTCTGCATACAAAATTTCCTCCCTCTATGTAAATTTTCTGTTATGCAGAGAGGGAAGCAAACATCTAGTTAAGACCAGTGGAATATTTTCACTTACAAGTCTTACAAGTTTTCATCTTCATCTACAGCTACAAAGTAGCAAAAAACTCCTTTTCTTTAACTGTTCCTCCTACTAAGTCACACTAGTGGGTTCAGAGAATGAGAGTCAAACGTGATCTCGATATGTTCACCATCACTTTCAAGTGATATTTGGAGTTGTCTTCTGTTCTAGAAAAATATAATGTAATTGGCTGTGTGATATGAGTTCCATGGAAGATTTTGGAGTGGGACTGTGACCTGCTACCGCTAGCTGACAGACACTGTATGAATAGCTCCCTTCTGCTCTGCATTTGCTCTGTGTTGGGATGATCACAATCCTTTGTCCAAGAATTTGCTGCTATTGTTTATGTATATTCAAATTATGGGTGATTTAATGGTTTCTTTAATGCTCTCAACTGACGAAATAGCTAAATCAGGTGTCAGTTATGAGAACGTGATGCAGAGCTCAGAGCCAGAGCATGCAGCATTTACAGGACTTGTTCTCTGGCCATGTCTTGCTCTTCAGGACCCTGGTCCTCTCTTTGCATTTCATTCTGAAAGAGGACTAAACCTCCACTCAGGCGGGGAAGCAGCGTTTTGAACCTCATTTTGTATAATAGATACCAAGTGATGTTCCTGTTGGACAGCTCTGGCTGCTTTGGAATGTGTTTTCCAGCTGTGAAAGCAGCACTGCTGCGGGGCTTTGCAGCGTTCTGTATGAGATCAGAGTTCTGCTGGGCTGCAGGCAGGGCTTGGTTTGCAGTGCTGTCTGTATCTCTGAGGGTGACATTTTCGAGCAATCCGCATGTTGTCTTGCTAATTAAAAGAAAGGGATTTAGCACAGAAATGTTTTAATGAAAAAATTACAGGCCCCATGTTAAGGAGCTGTTCCAGAAGGATGTGTGCTGCTAAATGTACCAAGCAGTCAGACCATGGCCAGTTCCGTATGCTCAGGAACTGGTTCTGCAAAACCTATGTCACCTGGTTAAAATGTTTTTGCAGGGGGAGAGAAGTGAGTTAAGGCTTCTGAATTCAGTGGAGTACGTGACTGGTGTATCCCCATATCAGCTGCCTGTCATTAGCCCTTGTGTGGTGCCAGTGCCACCACCTCGCCGGCACAGAGGGGACAGGGGTGTCCCTGCAGGGAGAAGTGGGATGCCCACAGGGAGACGGTTTCGTCCCACCACTGCATCGAATGATACAAGGCAACTTTTAACAAAGGTAAGTTATCTCTGTCTGTGTACAGCTGTATTACCTTCCTCATTGGTCTATTTGCCTAATGCTGAAAGGTGTGCATACCTAGTTTGCATAAAGAAAATGTATAACTATTAAAATACATAACTGCTGTACGTGCCTCTGTAAACTAAAGCATTTGGTGTTTTTCATCAGCTGGGGAGAAAACAGGTGCTGAACAAAAACCCATAGGACCTTCCACTTCAGTTAATCTGATCCTGTCTCTGGCCATAGCTGGCACCAGAGCTCCAGGGATTTTTTAAATGCCTGAAGTGTATGAACACTGCATGGGTTATACTCTGTCTCCAGCCAGTTCTCCTATAAATAAAACTGTAGGAACCCAGGATTGGGAGGGACAATATGGGTCATGAGACATGGTCCCTGCAACTTGGTGCTATTCAATGAAATGGGTTTTCGGTTTGAAATATTTCCCTGCCACCTGCATGTTACAAACATTTCCCAATTTAATCAGCCCAGCACCTGTCATAAAAGCCTGGAAGCCTCAAGCGTGTGCTGCACAGCCATGAGCTTTTTGTTCCCCTCCTGTTGGAGCTAGAAGCTGAAGGCATTTCTGTGTGTTTCCTGCTGCAGAATTCTGGAGGGTTCCCCAAATCCCCATTATGCAGCAATGCTGTTGTCACCATGGCCTACATAGGAAAGAGTTTGCCTTTGTCTCATGATGATTACAGGGATGAAATCAAAGTCTATCAGCAGCACTGTGGAGGAGAAAACCTTTGTGTCTACAGTGGCAAGCTTTTGGAAGGAGGTAAGGATAGAGTCAAAGAGCTCGTATTGATTCTGGCAACATCTTTTTTGGTTAAAGCTTTGCTGTGACACCAATGATTTCAGCTGAACTCAGTCAAGATACCTGCATCCAGGGATTTTTATACCATCTGCCTCCACACTAAATCTGGATCTACTGTTCTGTGATTGAAAGTGAAGTTAGAATTACTTTTTCAAATTATGGTAGAAGGAATTTAGAGAGCTAATTTAACAAAATACTGTAGCTTAGATTAATTTTCTATAGAGATGTGTGGTTAATGGAGTGTTTGTAGCAGTAAGCTGGACTTAAATAGGATTTATCTGAGTAGCTAAAATACATCAGTGCGTGTTGCTTATTATTCCAGAAGGAAAAGTACATAGTGGGAGCCCAGTTCTCATCTCTTTTATGTGAGTGCAATTCCATCACACCAGTAAAAGGTGAATTGTGTTCTGGGAAGCTGGGCACATGACATGGCTGGGAGGCTCTTGCCTCTCTTCTGCTGTAGCCGTGAGTGGCCAAACTGACAGTGTGCTCACCTGTCCTAGCTGTGCCCACCTTGGATCCTGGGGATGGCGAGAGCCAGGGCTGTGTGTGTGTAGGGGTAGAGTGTGACCAACTGATGAACAGAGCTGAGAACCCCAGTGGCTGGCACAGAGGGCTGAGTGCTGTGCTGATGCTGGTGAGATACAGCAATTGCCCCAGGCTGACAGGGAACTATAATGTTTCTCTTTGAACCTTTTCTTTCTATGATTGCAGAGACCTTCCAGTTCATCTCCAAGAGGCACCATGGCTTCCCGTTCAGCCTCACCTTTTTTCTCAACGGGATGCAAGTCCACAGGCTGAGCTGTTGCTGTGAATACAAACATCAGAGGCGTTCCCGGCTGCGAAGCAGAAACAGATACTTCAGGTTTCTCAATGTGGAGGGAGCATCTCCTTGCTACAGGTACGGAGACGAGTACACTTTGCTCACAGATACTTGGTTTTTAGAGAGTTTCTTACTTGTTGCTGTTTCATCTCTCTGGCTCCCCACAGCTCTGTAGAACCTGCTCTGTTTCTCAGTGCCCCTTGGACTGCAGTTACCCGTCAGGGTCTCACCTCCAAGGGTGCCAGTACAGCCGTTTTCCTGTGCCTGCTCAGTCTCCCTGTGTTGTGTGCATGGCATGGACAGTGTTGGTGCTGGCTCTGTCGGAGAGTTAGAGGTGGCTGAGCATGGGGTAGTGGCTGTGGGGTGTGGTTCATGTGCCACCCATGTGTCTCTGGCCCAAGTGGCAGTGAAACAAATATCAGGCTGTGGTTTTCAGAGGCTTTTTTGTGCATAATTTATTTTTAAACAGCTCTGCCTCTGAGGTGGGATTCTGCTGAATGTTGGCCACGGTTCAGAAAGCAAATCTGTGCAGAAGGATCTCGGGTTTGGGTGAAAGTCAGTGCTGTGACCAACAGCTGTGGTTCTGCCGAAAAGCTTTAATTGTCATAAACCTTCCTTTTCTGTGATTGTTAATTCAGACCAGACAAGTAAACTTCTGGATATGTGGATAATTTAAAAACTTTCATGTTCTTTTAAGAAATAATTTTTAAAAGAGCAGCAAGCAGTTGGAACAAGAGACTGTCCACAAAGCTGTACCCGGTTCCTTCAGATAAGGACTGAATTCTAAGAAATATTGTACCGTATTTTTTTATTCCAGTCTAACAATGAACATGATTTATGTAAATGTGTTATCTAGCATGTTCAAAGAAGTGAATAGCTTCTGAATTCAGAATGGATATATTGGCTATAGAATTTAGGAAGTGCTCAAATCTCAGCTTTGTGTGATTTCTAGAAAGATTTGAAGTGAATTTTCTGAATTTAATATAGTATTCAAAAACTGGTTAATTCCTTCCTGAATCAGCCCCCCTTTCTGCCCCTCTTCCCCTCTTATTCATAGTGATTTCTGTTTTTCTGCCTCTTGTCAGTCCAGCTGACCTTATCTGGTGACTTAAAACCCATCTCTACTGACCTGATTTTCCCCATAAATGACAATTAGTTTCACATCCCTTCAAGTCAGGTGCAATTCTGTTTTTTTCCTGCTCTGTGACACACGTTGAATACCTACTCTGGTTCCCAACATGGTAGGTCAGGGCTTTGGCTCACAATGAGGTGATGCAGTGATTTCTGTACCATGTCTGAGCCTTGCTCTGAGAGTTTTCTGCTGTCTGAGATTCAGCATTTCTGTACAGCAGAAGTGCTTCAATATCCCAAAGGTCCCTGAAGAAAACACAAGGAACAAAGCATTAAGGGGTAGGACTCTTCAGAAATGGTCATGTTTATTTTTTATGCCCACAAAATGAAAAGATTTCTGGCCTGAATGACTGTGGGATACTTCACAGTAGTTTGGAGACAGTTGAAATGTGAGGGGAATTGCAATCAAGCCTTACATTAAAAAAGCAGTTTGGGGGGAAGAAGAGATTTTAAGACATAGTTGTCCTTGAAGAAAAAATGTTTTTCCAGAGGGATTTAGGAGTAGCTAAAGTGAAAGTTCCAGTTTCAGTTTCACCCTCTGCTTGCAGATTTGACCCCACATACTATCCACAGCATGGTGTCCTGGCCCTTGTGGTGGGTGCAGGATGGTGTAGGTTGGCTCTTGGTGTCAGTTAATGTTCCATCAGAAATAGGAACTCTGGTCTCTTGTGTGGGCCTCCTGACCACATGTCACTCCATTTTATACAAAAGGAGCCATCTCAACAACTCATTCAAAATGCTTTGTTTTCCAGCTGCTTGGGTTTCTTTTGGATAGGAAAACAGAACAGAAGATGAAAATGATTCACTTTCAATCTTCCTCATCCCCCACAGTTATGAGACCCAGCAGACAAATTCAGAAACCCCCGGTCTTATGCACAAACCCTGAGTTACCACTTTACTGGATTTTACAGCAGGATCTGGATCCAGCCCACGTGTGACTTGGAGCTTGTCCGCCTTTCTCAGAGGTTCTGTCTTCAGAGCCATTGCAGGCCGTGCAGGTTCTAATGAAGTGTCACTTGTAATAATTTTGTTTTTAATTTGTTTATATGTCAATTGTCACCTGTTAGTGCAGACAGCGTTACTCTCCTTCAAGGAAGAACTTCTTCTGTGTTACGGGAGCTCTCTGGTATTTTGGGGTGCTTCTCAATGTAAGTCACTGTGACAGTGCAGAGACAGATGGGTACCTGGTTTCACTGCTGATAATGAGCTGAACTTGCTGTCTGCTGCCGTCTATTATTCACAGGAAGAAAAATGTGATATTTCCTAATCCGTGTTATTTTATAGGTGCATTATTGCGATGGGCCTGGACAAAAAGCTATCCCCTCCCAAGAGGAAGATAGAGTACCGTGTGGAGAAGCATGTGGGTTCCTGGGAATGTACTCTGCACAGTGAGCCAAGTAACAGCAGTGTTGAGCAGAAATCAGTGAAAAATTCAATGTTAGTCGTCTTACCATCTCATGAAGCAAGTGTGGAAACTGTTGAGGAAAATGTGGAGACTGCAGAGGAGTACAGAGAAGAAGAAATGACAAACCAATCTGGTCATGAGAGTGAAGATAGTCAGGAAGACATCAGTAAAAATGGTACAGTATTCCCAAACATGAGTGGGGGATAAGAAATGGGAGAGGATGATTCTGGAGAAGGTATGGGATTATGGGCCTCTCACTTTGCCTGGGGCTTGAGAAATATGGTGATGCCTGTGGCTGGGCAATAGAATTACTGAGGCTCCTTTCAGCCATCCAACAGGATGAGATGGTTTGCAAGAGCCAAGAAAGTGAGTAAGGAAGGGTGGTGAGGCTCTGGCACAGGTTGCCCAGAGAAACTGTGGCTGCCCCATCCCTGGAAGTGTCCAAGGCCAGGTTGGAGGGGGCTTGGGGCAACCCGATCTTGTGGAAGATGTTCTCTTCCATGGAGGAGGCATTGAGCTCAGCCTCTCCCTTTGCTTCCTTACTGTAGTCTTCTTCAGAGGCAGTCACATTTAGACAGAGATTTTAACTCCTACTTCTTATTCCTATTTTTCCTTTCACAGTTCTGCGGTGTGACTGCTCAGATGCCTTGTTAGTCCCTCCAGATGTGTGTTTGGGATTAATCAGGCCTTTTTCCTTCAGGAGGAGCTGCCCTTCTGAGAGTTACCTGAGTCCTCACTGCCAACACTGCAATTGGAATCTCGATTGATTTTTAATACAGAAAATAAATCTCCTTATTCCCTTAGTTGTCATTGTCTGGGTAATTGTTTATTTGCCTAATTGGTTCTGCATCAGGAACTCTTCATTTCTGCCCTTGGCATTCTGTCCCTTCAGTATATTAAAAGCCCTGATGGAAAGAAAGGAGGTGAGGAATGATGAGCACGAGGGACAGCTAGTGTGGCAGCAGTGACAGTCACCTGCACAGGGCAGGTGTCTTCCCTCGCTGCTGTGGGCGCAGGGAGCCTCTGATAGCAGCGGAATGACTGGATTTTAGGTGGGAATCACCGACATCTCTTGTGCTGGTGCCTGGGATGTGCACGGTGCAGCTTTGGCATGGAAGGGGAGTGTTCTTTAATGCATCTTTATGTACAGATCTGAGCAAAGTTATCTGTCAAATGTCACAGCTTGTCGGGCGAGTGTCTGGCTGAAATTCAGACTTGTGGATGTAAGAGTGGTAATTCTGTGCAATCTTCATTTGTACTGGGATTTCCCCTGGGCCTGAAGGAGCATTTCCTAGCAGTGTTATAAAAGCGTCCCTCTGCAGTGCCCTTTGGCTGGGTTTAATTAGATTCATTGAGTTTGTAAGACACTTCTTAGCTATTTATCATACTTTGCACCTTTCTCCAGCTTTCTTGATCACTTGTAGTTTTTTTCGTCACAACCAGTTTTTCTCCTGTAATAAGAGACTCTTGCATTTAATTTCTGAATTTGCCCAGCTTTTAATTTTTCTAGCCCTTTCCATGGCTAATGATTTTGTTTGGTTTTGTTTTAATATATTAATCATGCTCAGTGCATCAGTCAGTAGTTTTGCTGCATTTTTGCAACTCTATGAGGAACATGATGCTTTTTTATGATAATGTGCTCTTACGATTCCTATCTGTGGTCTTAGATTCTCTCATGGCTTTAAAAAGACTGAGCAAATATAAGGGCAAAAGGAGATTAATGAAGTTAATGTCTGTCTGCTTAAAAATAATGTTATTAGTTGTGAATTCTGTTTCCCGTGTCACAGTGCAATTCTTCTATTTTAGGGTATGATGAAGATTTTGAAGCAGATGAAGAAGTTAATGAAGAGGGACAGACTGCTGATCAAACAAATGGAATGTCAGAGTCATCCTCAGATGATAAAAACCATAATTTAGACTATGGAAAGGAGAGTGGAACCTCATCGCAGAAGGCACTCCAGGCCTCTGACAGTGAGAAAGATGAAAGTGATGGATATTCTGACAGGGACTCTGAGAATAATCAACAAGGTTAGTTTTGTTTGTAATGAGGCTTAGAGAAGCTGACCTGGTGCATGTTTCACAGTTTGTGTGTCCAGTATGTATGGTGAGTCTGCATGGAGAAACCCATGCCATTCCTACTGACAAAGTAAAAGGCAGCTGTTTTATTTGTTATTAATTTTACATCTGCCACTGAAACGCAGGCAGCCCTCTGGAAGTGGGAGCGTGGGCTTTTTGCTGAGCTGTTTAGGTGCTGGAATGGGGATGGAGGCAGGCAGCAGGTTTGCAGGGCAGCCCTCCATGTCAGTGGGACTCACACCTCGAGAAGCTGTGACCCCTTTCACCTTATGAAGGGTCCCAGGAAACCTGACAGACCAGTCTGGGTTTTATAAGTGCTGTCCTTAGTGGCCCTGAATATGGCCATAATGTATCTGTGCCAGAGATCCAGAAACCAATAGATTGTCTGAGGGGAAAGGTCTGGAGAGGAACAACCTTGGATTTTCCCATGGGAGAGGAGTAGTATTCTGAGTGGGAGTCTTTAAACTGTGGCTATAAGGTTTCTTGGTACAATATGTTTTTCTGAACATGCAGTTCTGCATGGATGACAGTTCTGGCACTTCTACTTATTCAGCCTGATTGGATTTTTCTGCCTTGAGTTTCACCAATCTCTTCTTGAACCTGTGTGGACTATGGGCAGCAGCAAGGCTGTGCAGCGGTCAGCTCTGCTGGTCAGCTCAGTGTTAGATGAAGGATTACTGCCTTTTTTCCCCTCAAACTTTCCATTTTTGAATTTAAATGATGATGTCTGTATGTTTTTCTAGAGAAGACAGTGAACTTCATCTCCAATTTGACCTGAATGGTTTACACATGGTTTTGGAGATCTTTCTAATATTCAGTGAGTTAACAGGAGTGCACTAAAGGATTGTTGCTATGGTTGAAGTCTTTATCTGTGCTAAACCCTGTCTGAGTGACACTTAAAGGTGCTTTTGGAGGTATATTTCTGTGTGATTGATAGAAGTTAATTTCCATTATCAGAAGGTTTATTTCCATTAGAGGTTAATTTCCATTATCACAAAAAACCCCCGAAAACATTAAATGGATTTAAACATTGATACATCTGGCCAATGTTCTTCTATTTACACTTACTGGAATTTTGTCATGATATCCTCAGATGGTGGAATTCAGAGATTGCTATTGGTTGAAATTCTGTACTTTGTGAGTGCCCAGTGAATGCAGATGCTTAGTGATAAATACTAAACCAAAGTACTGTTTGCTGTTTCCAGAGAGGAGACCTGCAGACTCTCTCTCATCCATCAGCACTCAGTGCAGCGCTGAGGGTGACTCTCATGCTGAAACAATGACGGACGATGGCAATGAGGAGTGTGATATCAAAAGGGCATCTGATAGCACAGCACATGCACAGTATGGAAATGGGAATGGGGAGAATAAACTGCTGAGAAGGGAGGAGAATCAGGAGACTTCTGCACTGGAAAACAAAGAAATAGATGGAGCAGGAAAGGCAAAACCAGAAGATCTACCAGCAAGGGAAGATACTGGAGTTTTTCATGAAAATATAATGGCAATGCAGCATCAAAGTCCTGAAGTTAACGGGGAACTCAAACGGACTGGGTCAGGAGAAAGTAGCATGAATGATGAGGACGAATGTCTTCCAGTGCCTTGGGAAACCAGGATGTTGAACGTAGAGGATGGCAACGAAGAGTCTCCTCAGAGTGAGGAAGGAGGGGGTGAGTACAGCCCCTCTGCATAGCTCTGAGTGACTGGTGCATGTCACCATGCTCTCAGTCATGGTGCAGCACAGGGAGTTGCTGGACTGTTTTCAGGCTGCTGGAACACTCTGTGCTGCTGTGAGCCCAATAACCACTCAGAACGTAACCTTTTCTTTGTGTTTCTGTGCTAGTGTTTCCAGTGTAAGGCTCTGCCCAAACATGAATTTTAAACCATTTTAAACCAAGCTGAGGTGGCTGGATGGCTTCTACTCCCCTTTCGCTCTTTAATGGTTTCTCTTTCTTACTTCCTGTTTTCTTTGTGATAGTTTTTGAAGATTGCAAACCAGATGAGGAGGAAATGGCAAAGGCAACTGGAAATGATCATCCTGTGAATTCTGACCCTGAACCTGGTGATTCCCACGCCGGTGAGGAAGCAGAGAACCCAGCAAGTACAGAGCATGATGCCAGTGAAGGTGAGGTTGACTGTCAGTCAGGGAGAAGGATTAAATCTTATTAATCTGAAGTCTTTTCACAGAATTGTTTTTCCCTTTCCCTTTCCTTTGGCTGTTAATCCTCCTTGTGCTTTTTTCTTTCCTAACTTGTATAGAACTGGGTGATGACTAGCTGGTTTCTGTAGTCATGTATAATTAATGCTTTTTTGGCATTTAAATGGTTCTAGGCAAAGACCCCAGCCATGGTAAACTGGCTGTGAGTCAGGAAAATAGCCATGGAAAGCAGAAACATAGTGAGGTTTCCTGTGCTTCCCGGTAGCGTGGGGAATCCTCGGGAAGCGCTTTGGTTCCCAGGGGCAGGAATTCCCCAGTGTAATTAAAGAATCCACGGGAAGCAATTACCCATTTTATACAGCTGAGTGTTCTTCCTCCCGTGTGTGCGTATTTTACATGAGCAATTTGCCACCTATTTCTGACTTTCTGAGTGTCGCTGTCAAGGTTACAGGTGTTTCACGTGCACACCTGAGCTCCCTGCAGGCAGGAAGGGAGGGAGGCAGAGCAGGCAGGGCAGGCAAGATTGGCAAAGATGAAAGCTGGCCTTGCATCAACATTTTTTCTTACATTCATTATGCCAGATGCTAGGACAGCAGCACTAGAGATGTAGTCAGAGCCCAGGGGTGTGATGAGAAGAAGCACAGCAAGTTTTCTTCTGGTCCCCATGCTGGTGTCCCTCATTGCTGGGCAGAGACAGTACCTTTAACACTAACTCTGTAAAACATGTAACATTGACACAGTGCTGAGTAAAACCAATGTTTTATTTTTCCCTAACAGGACCAGATGGAAGTTTCTCGGCAGAAGGGAGGAGAAGCCTTGATGTGCAGAAGGCAGCAGGACAAGAAGTACAAGAAGGGCAGGTGGCAGGCCAGAGACAAGCCCGGGAGCAGGATGGTGCTGCCACGGGAAGAGATGCTGGCAGCAAAGAGTCTGGAGGAGAAGGGATACGGGAGAGGGATTTACTGCCCCAGGAAGAGACAGGGTCTGCGCTGGAGGAATCCACACCTGAGGAAGGCACTGTGGCAGAGGAACATCCAAAAGGGAAGGGGACAGAAGAGAGAGTGGAGTCGAGCACAGAGGTGTCACCTGGGGAGCAGGAGGTGCTGGTGGAGGGGACGGAGATCAAGGCAGCACTAGGAGAGCTGGCACCTGGGGTAGAGGGGCCAGCTGGGGCACTGCCAGGCTGGGAGACAGACAGAGCCGTGTCCGAGGGGCAGGAGGGGGATGGGGGGGTCCCTGAGGAGGAGGCTGTGGAGAAAGGCCCCGAGGGAGTGGCAGGGCCACCAGCAGAGGAGGAGGTAGGTGAGGCAGTGCCAGAGGCAGGGGAGTCGGTGTGGGAGGGAGGGTCCACAGGGAAAGGTGCTGTGGTTGGTGCTGTGGCAGATGGAGAGGAGGCTGTGGAGGATGCTGACCTGGCAGGAGAAGGTATTGCCGGGGTTGTTTGCCCTGAAGAAGGGGCTGTTGAGGAAGACAGTTCTGAAGGGCAGGAGGCAGTGGAGAAGCCTGGGGCTCTCCTGGAAGCATTAGGGGATATGGAAACAGGAGAAGCAATGCCTGGAGGGGAAGGGTTTGTAAAGCCAGATAAGTTTTCCCAGCTGAAAGCATTAGAGGAAGAGTGGATGGAGATGGGGAAGGCTGCCACAGGAGCAGCAGCATCTGAACGTGGCCAGGTATGCAGGGTAGGAGGGAACGTTCTCCAAAGAGTGGAGGACATGATGGAGGTGTCAGTGGAGCCTGGCAAGGGTACTGTGCTGGAAGTGGCACCTGGGTTAGGGCCACTGGGGGGTGCTGGGGACGATCCCATCAGTGAAGGGTCATCTCAGGTAGAGGAGACCCCGGCAGTGCAGGAGAAGGAGGGTGCAGTGGAAGCACTTCGGAGTGGAAACCCATCTGTGGGCAGCAAAGCAGAGACAGAGAGAGCCATGGAAGGAAAACCCAATGGAGGGGTGGCGGGAGGGTCTGCAGAGGCGTCCACCCAGGGGTTAGGAGGTGGAGAGGAGGCCACAGGTGGAGCAGCAGGTCCAAGGGAGCCAACAACTGGGATGGAGGGGTGGCTGAGGTATGGAAAAGAGAGAGGAAAGGGGAGGCCTTCTGGGGAGGGGGTAGTGGGTGATGCAGCAGTGCCAGCCCTGGGGTTGGACGTGAGCCAGGCAGGGGAGCCCAGGCTGGTGGCCATTGCTGTGATGGGTGGCCAGGCTGGGCGAGGGGCTCTGGCCGAGGAACTGGCCAGGGAGCCAGCGCTGGCTGAGGTGGTGGTGGCAGTGGCTGGGGATGGCAGGGTGGGCAGAGGGACAGTGGTACAGGAGGGGGTGACAGAAGGAGTGCTGGGGGCACAGAGCGGGACAGGGGTGGCAGTGGCAAAGGGGATGTCAGCCAAGGGAAGGTGGGCAGCCAGAGAGTCTGGGAGGGACAGGGCAGGGGTGGCTGATGGAGCTGTGGCTGGTGAGCAAGGGATGAACCAGGAGGCAGCACTGGGGTGCGAGGCAAGTGGGCCAGAGCCAGCGGGGGCCAAGGGCCAGGGCGAGGCAGAGTGGGAGTGGGTCACAATGCATATGGTGTCCTCAGGGCACGAAGAAGCCTGTAGAGCAATGTCCCCTGGGGAACAGCTGACTGCAGAAACCTCCCAAAGCACCCCTGCCCATGGGGATGGGGGAATGGAGCTGATGGGAAGAGAGTCTGCAGGCGGCGAGGGGCTGTGCTTGGGCACCCAGCCACAGCTGGCAGGTCCTGGGACAGGGGCAGTGGAGGGCAAGGACGGGCAGCAGGAGGGGATGGAGCAGGCGGGAGTGAAAACAGAGGGAGAACAGCAGGGTCCCTGTGAAAACACGAGAGAGAGCAAGGTAGTGGCTGTCTTGGCAAGTGCAGAGAACTCTGCTGGGGCCGGGCAACAGAGGAAGGACAGTCCCGTCGTCGGAGGGAGCCCAGGAGCTGCTGACGTGGGTGAGAGGAGCCCCAAACCCCGTCAGGTGAGTCCTGCATGGATTGGTCACTGCCCCCAGGCTGATCCCTGTCAGAGGCAGAAGATGCACCATTCCTTAATGCACCATTGCTTAATTATCTGCTGCTGGTAGCTGGAACAAGGGATGATAAATCCTTTTGGGTGGCGGCTGCCTGCGTTCTTTCCTGTTCCCAAAATCCTGAGTAAATCCCTTTGCTGTGGCATTAATTCTTGCAGCCCCTCCGCCCTCTCTCCCCTCTAGCCATGCAGAGCAGCTAACCCCACCCAGCTTGCCGCAGCTCTGGTGGCACTGGGTGAGCCCTGGCAGCATCTATGGGCTCTGGAACACCAGGTCAGCATCAGCACTTGGTTTCGCTGTTACTCTGGCCTCTGCTTGTTGGAGATGTCACAGCAATACCTCAGTAGCTCCAAGTTCAGAACATTTTCTGTAACATTTACTCATTGTTCCGTAGGACAGTGTAAACCCAGACCCAGTCATCGTATCTGCAGAACAGTCCCATGATGGGGAAGAAACTCTGCTCTGAGCTTTTTCAGCAGCTCCTCAATGCTGTGTCCTGTAACATTCACACAATTAGCTGTGGGTTTGTGCCAGCTGGGATGTCACTCCTCTGTTGACTGCGCGAGTACCACAACCACCTGTCACATTTCACCATAGCAGCTCCTCCGTGTGCAGCAGACAACTGAAACGAGCCTGTGTTTGCCAGCCCAGGAAACAGTGCTGCTTCAGAATTATGAAGACAGTAATCACCAGGATTGTTCCACAGTTGTCATGCTTGTTTTTCCCAAAACCAGAGGAATACTGGACTGGCTGAACTTTCCCTCCTCCCCCATGCACTGCTCCTGCAGGCAGGCAGGAGGATGAGGGCAGATGTGCTGTGTGTGTTTGTCTGTACAGGGTGCCCATGTCTGAGTGTATCTGTCATTTTTTTGGGGTGTCTTTGCCTTTCTGAGCTGCAGCCTTTTGTCAGTCAGGCTGTGTCCTCACTGCTGTGCATGGGGCACTTGTGCATGCCATTGTTTGATTCTGGTAAGATCATCCAGGGACGTTCAGCAGAGATGCAATGGCAGGATCAGGGGTGAAGGAGGCCTCACATGAGGGTTTTAGCCTGGGGACTTCCCCACCCCAGATTAGGGGAGGGTAGCTCTCCTGCATGCAGAGTGCCCCCTGTGCTGGGGGGCATGAGGGGCTTCTGTCTCAGGGATCCACGCTTGCTGTTGGCCACAGTTCAGGGCATGCTTGGCACTTTGAAATGTTGAAAGTTGTTAAATCAGAACAATTCTAACAAGTATTTGTAAATGCATAAAGCCTGGCCTTTTGCTTTTGGTAGTGTCAGTCAGAAGTGACTTCCTGGCCCATGGAGCCTGGGCTGAGGCTGCAAGAGGGTGGTCAGTGTAGAGGTGTCTCAGCCTGGCAGTGGCTGCCCTTCTCTACTGCCTGAGGCTCTTCTCAGCTCTCCTGCACCTCTATGGGCCCACCAAGACCTTTCTGAGCTGGGCACCTGGGGCTGGGTGTGCAGCAGCCTCTGGGCACTGTTTGGTGGGCACAGGAGACTCAGCCCCACACAGTAGGGACTGTAATTGCATTTCAAGTAGGAAAATGAGGCTGAAATGAGTAGGATTTTGAGTGGATTGGTTCTTTGAGTCACTTCAGATCAATATGCATGGGAGTGGAAACTCAAATGTGATCAAGTGGTTGCTGTGTTCCCTCTATTAGAGGCAGTTGCATTTGTACGTGCAGTCTGTGCACATTCCTGCTAAGGACCATCTCAGAAGGTTGTGTTTTCTGTATACATATCAGACCTGCACATTCACTTGGATCTATTAAACACCTGTACCAGTCTGTGCAGCTCCTTCAGTTTTTGCCAGCGGTTTAACTGTAGGAATAACCCCTGCCTGTGCAGCAGGGCCAGCGCTGTGGTGTCTGTCTCAGTTTGCCAAGGACTGACTGATGTTGTGCTGAGTGTTTGTGCTGCTAAAGCTGCCTTGGGCAGGTACCCACACAAAGCTCATGCCTGGGGCTGTGGCATGGCTGCACCTGAGCGTTTGGACACATGGGTGGCAATTAAAGGTGAGCAAATGCAGATGGGGATGCAGGGATTCCTGGGAGCCCCTTTGAGGCTGCAGGAGACCCAGGGCATCTGAGAAGGCCTTGGTGAACAGGGCAGTGTGATTGTAAGGAACTGGAATGCTGACAGTTCATTATTTAACATTCTTGAAATACTTATAAATGGCACTTGTGCATGTGGTTGTAACAACTGGGAGAAGGAATCCTGTGGTTAGGAACATGTATGTGGACTTTCAAAACATTAGTGTCCCTGTCATCTGAGCAGGCAGAAATTTGGTAATAAGCGAAACCATGGAAAAGGATAATTGTATAGGTTTGGAAGTGTTTCCCTTGGTCCTTTCTGTTCTCCTATCTGGTGCTAATTAGTAATTAACTTCTAAGTGAAAAGTAGGTGGTACTTGGGGAAAAACAAGATGTGCAGCAGAAAAAACCCTCCGATTAATTATTAAAGCGAGCATATGTGAGCAAAGCAAACTATCAAACAGTGTTGCCACTGGCATAACTCATTCTTGGCTCATCAGGAAGGCTTTTGGAACTCCCTGAACTGTCAGGTGTCCTCAATTGCCTGTCACTGGCTGCTGATGGTTGTGCCTCAGATGTGTCTTGCACAGCTGGAGCCTGGTGACATCCCACAGACTGAAGAGATGCATTTCACCAGTTCAAACCCACGCCAGCTGTGCAATGTGGATACAGCATGGGAAGGTTTGAAGTCCCACTCCTGGAACTGGGCACCAAGCCCTGGCATCGCTGAAAGGGATGTGGGATGGTGGCTCACAGACACTGCCGGGGATGCTGGTGGTGGGCAGCACCGTATGAGCGGTACATCTGTCTGTCTGAAACAAGGGCTGCAAGGTAACTTTCCTGGCTGGGAATTGCCTGAGGGGTTTTGGGGTTCAGCCGTGCAAACCAGGCATGACCAATCCCTTGGCCTCTGAGGGAGCCGGCCATGCCATGCTGGCTGTCCTGTGCCGTGCTGTGCTGGCTGTCCTGTCCTGTGCTGTGCTGGCTGTCCTGTGCCACGCTGTGCTGGCTGTCCTGTCCTGTCCTGTGCTGTGCCGTGCTGGTGGACATGTGCTGCAGGAATGCCAGGTTCACTCCTGCCTGCAGTGCAAGCCCTTGTCTGGTTGGACTCCATATTATTTTAATTATTTTAATCTAGATCATCTATTTTAATCTATTGCTGATATGTTAATTTAAAATATCACTACAGTTGCCAGGCACTGGCAGGTCTCCAAAGCAGGGTAAGAATCCTCGGACTGTCTCATTCTTGGTAAATATTTTGATGTGCTGGGGTCCTTGGGCTTCCCTGGGAACAGCACAGACTACTTGCAGTCCCACAAACAGCTTCAGAGCATGTTCTACTCAGTAATTAACATTTTTCAGAGTTTTTGTTTGTATTACTGATCACTCCTATGAAACATGTTTTTCCCCTAAGCCTGATGTTTCTTCTATAGAGACCAATTATCTACGACATTGTTTTCTTCAAGGAACCAGTAATTTTAATTACTAGTAAAATTATTTTCAAGCAGGTGGCTTTGTAAAGGGCTTGTTAAACTATAGAAGGTTTGCTTTCTGGAATTTTTTTGTTGTTTTCATGTGACATGTTCCAAGGAGGTACTCAGGGATGACACAGTAGCTCAGGTATCTGTGAGAACTCTGAAGTATTAGTGCACATGAAGTGAGGTATTAGTGCACATGAAGTCTGCTCCCTTGCTCCATTTTTAGTTCTCTAACACAGTTTAGTTTCTGATTTTCAGGCCCAGTTGCCAAGTCACTAAATGCAGAGTCACTGCATGGTTGCTTTAAGCAAGGAAAAAAGACAGAGTGCAGAGATATTTGGAAGAAAAAAAATTCCTGTTAAAAAAGAGACTTAGAGCTGGAACCGAGATTTCAGATATGACAATGGATTCTTTCTGCCCTGTTGGTGTTTCTGGTCAGTATGAAAACCAAGGACTGAGACCTAATGTCTGTTCACCCTCCTTCATCAGCTTGTGCTTCCGTGGCTTTGCCATATAGAACATCTGGGCAATTAGGGTCAGGTAGGGAATATTTATCAGCATCCTAGATGCACCTTCTCCCTTCTGCTCTGCACCTCTTCCCTCACAGAATGCCAGCTGCTAACACTGCTTGTACTTCTAGAGAGAATACAGCAGATTTCCTCCAGCTGCAGACAAATCTGGATGTTGTTTTGTTGTGGTTTACTGGGAGGGACCTTTAAAGCTCCTCTTGTTCCAACCCCCTCCATGGAAATA